TCCGAGGCCATGGTTCTCAGTCGGAAAAGGGTGGCTTGTTCCCTTCAGGTTGGTGGAGAGTTCCTGCCTCAAGTGGAGGAGTTCAAGTATCTTGGGGTCTTGTTCATGAGTGAGGGAAGGATGGAACGGGAAATTGACAGGTGGATCGGTGCAGCTTCTGCAGTAATGCTGTTGATGTACCGGTCCGTCATGGTGAAGAAGGAGCTGAGCTGTAAGGCGAAGCTCTCGATTTACTGGTCAATCTACGTTCCGACTCTCACCTATGGTCATGACCGAAAGGCCAAGATCCCGGATACAGGCAGCCAAAATGAGCTTCCTCTGCAGGGTGGCCGGGCGCACCCTCAGAGATAGGGTGAAGTCACCCGGGAGAAGTTCAGAGTAGAACTGCTGCTCCTCCACATTGAGGGGAGCCAGCTGAGGTGGCTTGGGCATCTGTTTCGGATCCCTCCTGGATGCCTTCCTAGGGAGGTGTTCTGGGCATGTCCCACCGGGAGGAGGCCCCCGGGGAAGACCCAGGACACGCTGGAGGGAATATGTCTCTCGGCTGGTCTGGGAATGCCTCAGCATTCCCCCGGAGATGCTGGAGGAAGTGTCTGGAGAGAGGGAAGTCTGGGCATCTTTGCTTGGACTGCTGCCCCCGTGACCCAGTTCCAGATAAGCGGAGGAAAATGGATGGATGGATACTCTGATATGACATAATAAGAATTTATTCAGTTATTAGATATATCTACAATAGGATTTGAGAGTTTTTAGAAGTCTATTGATAAATGCTTGTGGTCTTCAACGTGGTGTGGTGGGTTAAATTGTTTTGTGCTGATTGGTCTGGGTGTGGTGTTGCACCTGAAATCAATTTGTAAGAGACTATTTGTATGTCAGGTCAGAGTCCAAGCTGTAGATACCTAATGAAGACTTAGGTTTGAATTGTTGTTGGCATGGTAGCTTGGCCTGAATAAAAATAGTTTTGTGGAGCATTAAATCAGTGTGAAAGCTCTAATCTTTTCACTCTAGAAGTGACATTTGTGCACATATAATAAAATGAACAAAACTTCTATGTCACAATAACTACAGTTTGTAGTATGTATTTCTAAAATTAGGTGAGAGAGCAATTTTAAAAATGTTTTTATCATTGACAATAGCATTATCTTGAAATTTGATGAAAGGCTCTTGTTCCTCTCTTGGAAGTTAAATATTACACATGTAATGATGACATCCAGGCAAAGTATAAATAGGCAAATAAAAACCACCTCGTGTATTTGCTCTGTGCTTGTTAAGGCTCAGTATCTTCTAACCAGATATATTCAAGACTGATTTTAGTTAAAGTCGAGACAGACAGACTGTGTGATATCTATGGCGGCACTGATTTGTTCCCCACTGCTAAGGTCCTGTGCTCGCAGTCTCAGATCTGTGGATGGATCCAAACACAGGCAGACCTGGAGATCATGCAACACAAACTTGTTCCAGTGGTGCCGGTAAGTCTGTGCTCCTCAAATTCAGTGGTCAATAATGGTGATTTGTGTCCCACTGAAGTCTGTAATTCCTTACAATAAATATAAATAAATCAAGTAACAATGATCTTTGCGAGACATTAAATGATTTGAAAATTTATCAGTATCATCTTGTACAAAGATCTGACATTGCCTAACCTGGAAGTGCCTACATCTACACAACATTTGTTGATTGATCACAGTTTATTTTAACACTTGTATTACAGCCACAGAGTCAGTGTCTCACTGGGTTCCTCTTCTTTTTGACCAGAGATAGTCAAATTAAACAACGATTCTCTAAGACCTTAGCCACCTACAGAATGACTGTGAATGCTTGTTGTTCTCATGTGCTGTTTACTGGGTTACTGACATTTACTGCACCATATTTGTTCTGTTTGTCTCTAACAATGATTAAGCATTTTCTGAAAATAAATTCTCCTCGTCACATGTGTAACGTTAATGGCTTCCAAAACCAAGACCTTTGCAGTGGTTTTCCATAGAGACCATGTACAGTATGTGTGGGACAGTTAATAATCCCTGGTCATAACCCTTGCTTTAAAAAGTTGCTTGCTTTGATTTTTCTTGGCGTTAAGACTGATACTACGCCTGATTTTATTGGCATGGTACTAGTTTTTCTCTGTTTTTTTAGGCCTATACAAGGATCGAACAGCCTCAATATTCAGGAGCGTAGAGGAATATTATATTATGAATGGTCATTTTCTTCATTATCTTTAAATCTGCAGCTTGTTAAAATGCTCTGATCATGGTGTATGTGCTACATTTGACCTTGTTCTTTTTTTTTCTTTCTGAACTTTGTTCTCATTGCCAGGTCACTTCATGTGGACAGTGCTCCTCTAAAACCCTCTCTGACCACCAGCTACGTCCATGGCACCTCCTCCTTCTCTCTGCTCCCCATGACTGTGGGTCAGAGCCTGGAAACCACAGTCAAGCTCTGGCCTGACCGTGAAGCTGTGGTCTGCCCAGAGGAGGGAGTTCGGAAAACCTTTGCACAGTTTCAGGAAGATGTACGTCTCAGACTTTACTTTGCTCTTCAGTTGATTTGTTTTTTGGATTGACTGCCCCTCCAGCCCAGCAGAAACTAAATAATTACAGGAATAACTGAAATGCAATACAGTGTATAGCAAACCTGTCCGGTTATTTACCCGTACAATAATTAGTGAGCTCAGCTTGTCAGAACACAGCTACGTATGTTAAAAGGGTTTGTACACTTTCTTTCAGTGTTAATTTTGTAGGTTAATGACCTTTTGATACAGCAAGAAATGTGGTAGTCCTGTGACACAAAGTGAATCTTGTTAAAGCTATTAGTGTGGCATTTCCTATCAAACGTAGTTTGATGATATGACTTTTGGCTGTTTTGTTCCAGTTTTCAGATGAAATAAGTAGGAAGAATTCTCTCTAGCACTAATTTGGGCATTGGAAAAGGAAATTAAACAGAGTCTCAGCCACATCTGCCAGGCACATTATGGGCTGTAGAATATCATTAATAATTTACACTCTGCACTTGGTGGAGAACTGTCTAATATTTTTGTGATCTTTATTCTGGTGCAGGTAGACAAGGTGGCTGCAGGTCTTCTTGCTCTGGGCCTGAAGCAAGGCGACCGACTGGGAGTATGGGCACACAACATATATGAATGGATACTTTTCCAGTTTGCTACAGCCAAGGCTGGAATTATACTGGTCAGCTTGGAAGCTGTGTACACATTAAAATGGCATTTACAGCATTGTAGCCTATTCAGTTCAGTCCATTCTTTCAGCTAGATTGCTGGATAAATAATGCCCCTGTCCTATGTTAACATCCTGCTGTAAACATTCTGCTGTAAAGTGTGTAGGACCTTGAACCCTCCCAGAGGTGTAGAGATGTTTTTCTGTAGCAGAACCATTACATATTAAACAGGGCATTATAATCTGTCAATAATTTAGGAAGACATGACTTTAACCTCTTGATATGCTTGCAGGTGTCACTGAACACTGCCTGTGAGGTGAAGGAAATGGAGTTTATGTTAAAGAAGGTATATTTTGTGGCCAGTGCATAAGCCTAGTTATCTAATCACATAGCATACTTATTATACTACTAAACCAAAGTAAAATACAAAGCATGTAAATCAAGACATCTGACAGTTCACATTTACCATGTTGATATGAAAATAATTCTTACACACAGGCATAAGAGAATATAATTTCATTAGAAGTTATTTGTTGTGTCCAGGTCCAGTGTAAAGCAGTGGTCTGCCCTGCTGCCTTTAAGACCCAGAGGTTCTGTGAGATGCTGAGGGAGATCTGCCCAGAGATCGACACAACACGAGTGGGCACAATCAAAAGCTCCAGGTACGACAGGTTTCTGAAAATCTGAGAAAAAAAAAAAGTTAAAACATAACACATGGCTTTCTTCTATCATGATTATGGAGTAAGAGACAAAAAAACTTCACAGAGGTCAGACCATAACTAGAGAAATGCATTTCCTGTCGAAAATGTGTGTGAATGCTGATGAGCTGAAGGATCACCCTGAAAATGCCTGAGATCAATTGCTGAAGAAATGAGAAGAAATGGCTGAAGTTTTTTGTTGAACAATCTGAAGGATGAGATGCAATAAATACAAGCAGG